TTTTTTTTTTTTTTATATATATATATCTAATCTCTATTATTTTGTAGTTAGGCTATTTAATTTTTATTCTATTATATTAATATAGGGTGAGGTATAAAGTTGCATATATTGCATATTTAACATAATAATATTCTTGAATGGGTGTAGCGAAATATTGTCTATCTTCGCTTGTTTGTCTATTTCCTAATGATCTTTGTATATACTCGACCATTGGTCGAAATGAACTGCACAAGCTTTGATAGACAATATTATGTGTAGCTGTGAAGTAATTACATCTTCTTTGCTTGATCTAAAATCTTAGTAGATAGGTAGCTTTTTATTAATGTCTTTTTCATGTCTTTCTGATAAAATCTTTTATATACTTCATTAGATAACCAATTTTTAAATATGAGCAATGTATTCATACTAGCATTTGTATTGTGTGCAAGATTTGCTGATATCGCTCTAATGTTTTTAGCTTTTGTGTCAGGGTCAGCAAATATTAGTATATTTTTGAGCTAACCAGAAATAGTATTCACAGATGCTAGTAGGTGAGCTGCAGTTGTTGACAAGAATAATGTGTCTTTGTTTGACTCATTGATTCTTCAGTTCTTTGTGCAGCTAATATATTCTAATAATGCTGATGCTGTGCATAGAAATAGATCGTCCCTGTAATATTTGACTATGAGTATTTTTTGCCTAGGTTTTTTACTCCTATGTGCCAAAAAAATATTGTATTTCTTGAGGCTAACTATGTCAAGTAAAAATCTATTTTCTATTTTAGTCATTGATTCTAATGATATATGATACAGGTTGCTAGGTCTTGAGGCTGATATAATTGTGATCAGAAATGCAGTTTTTTTGGTCAGATCACAAATTGTCATGTCTTTGTCGTACTTTATTGATATAATATATTCCAAAGAAGGTGTTATATTAATTATATCCTCGATTGGTCATAGAGGTAGATTTTTCTTGTATATAAAGATCATTAACTTAGCAATGCACAGGTATCAACCCACTGTTATGTTATTAATTGCTTCGTGTACTTCACTAATGACAGTATGGTAAGTTGCTATAGTATTGTATGCAAAATCTTTGGTTGATATTTCTGTTAAGTAGTCTAATATGTTTTTTAAAGAACATCATATAGGATCAATTGAGATCTTATCATACCAAACCACCTATTTTTTAAATGCTGATCCCACTATACTATTTAATGATTGTTGTGAAACTTCTTTAACTAGGCTAATAGCTTTTTCTGAAAAACTTTTCTTTTGAAGGGTACTTCTGAGATAAGACAGACAAAAATCTTCCACCTTGGATTGCATATTGGATATTGTTGACTTATTTGTTCTGGAACAAATAGATTCTTGTCTGTAATCAATAGAGGTGGTTCGATTAGAAAGTTCAACAGTGTCGGAAACCAAGATACTATTGTCTAATATGGGACCAGAATCACTATAGTTGCTTTGTCTTTAATTACTTTCAATAAGATCTTGTAGATTAGTATCTATGGTGGGTTGGCCCAACCCTTCTGATTCTTCTAGTCCTGAGCCAGTGCATCTACTACTACGCAGCCAGGGTTTGGATATCTTGAATAGTACTTTGGTAATAGTACATTTATATGGTTAGCAAACAGGTCCACCTGTAATGGGCCCCAAATTTTCTGAATTCTTTAAAAAATCCTAGGTTTTATTATCCAATTGTGGCAGTCTAATGCTTTTCTCAATACTAAATCTGCTAATATGTTTTGTTTGTCTAGTATATGTTGTATTATCAACCTGATGTTCCATGTCATATATAATTTCCAAATTTTTTCTGCCAATAGATTCAAGTTTGTTGAGATCATACCACCTTGGTAGTTCAGGTAGGCTATATTATCTAATTTTATTATCACTGCCTTGTCTTTTAAGTCTTTTAGTGCTAGAAAGGTATAGTGTATCGCTATTATTTCTAAGATATTTATGTGTAGCTTGCTTTGTTTGTGGTTCCAATATTCAGAAATAAGCCATGTGTTATGTACTGCTCTCCATCCCATTTTGAATATATCTGTATAAAGGACTGTAGTTAGAATATCTAGAATCAGGCTTATGCTATTTTATCTTGTTAGATTCTGTGACCACTATGTCAGTTGCTGGTGGCTTTCTAAGAATAGAGTTAGTATGCAATTCCATCTCTTGTTTTTAATGCTTTGTTTTTGTCTCTTATTAGGGCTCTTGTCATAAGTCTTGCTAGGAG